TTATTTCAAAGATGTGGACTTTTATGAAGTTGCTTTAAAAATTAATAACAATTTATAAAAATTTAAGAGGTGTGAAATCATATCATTAATAGAAAATACAAAGAAAATTCTTATATGAGATGTAACATCCTCAATACCGGGTTAGTGACCAAATTAAAATATTTCGGAATTTGTTGGTCAAAGTAAAATAGTTGAATAGTTCAATGATTTATTTGAGGATATTTTCTGAAAGTTTTTAGTAATTATCTAAAGAATTTAAGGGCAAAATGGTCATTTGACAATAAAGATATTTTCCCCCTTAATAAATATGAATCACGTGGGGTGGGGGAAAAAGTTATCTGAAAACTCTTTCTTCTTCTTCCTATCCTCCCGTGGAGGCTCCAAGGCAAAGGTGAGTTTTCTAATTAATCAATTATGTGTTGATTTTATGAGTTAGTTTCGATCATTAGATGATAACTAAGCTTAAGGAAAGCTTAATTTGTTCTAAAACAATAAGATGAAAGATATAGTAGAGATTAAAGATTTTGAGTTCTTGAATGAAATTTTGATATAGAGTTGATAAGTTGAATTTGAAGTTAAATTTGACTTGTCATCATGCTGATTAAGGAATATATGAAGTGTTAGAATTGTATTTAGAACATATTAAAATTTGAGTATGATTCTTGAATTACATATGAGGGATAGGATTTTGAGGTTAAAGATGAGTTCCATGGATTAAGTTGGTTTAAGTAATGGTGGTTGGGTTTAATGACATGATAGGGGTTTAAAATAGAAGAATTGAGTGAAGAATTGATGATTTTCGGGCTTAAAATACAATTTCTGGGCATAGGGAATCGGTACCCTATGAAGGGGTATCGATACCCCCTTTTGAACGACAATTTCAGTATGTGCAGGGGGAACAGATTCCCCCTGGGGAGGTATCGATTCCCCCCTAAATGAAAAAAATGGAATTTGATTCATTAAACGGTTTAAGTTATTAACATCAAGTTTAAAGTTTAGGCTTCTGATAGTTGTTTTGAAATGATATATTTATGTAGATATTGAGCCTAAACAAGTTCCGGAATAATCAAAGGATTAGGATCGAATAAAAGTAAGGCTAAGGTGAGTGCAATTTATTTTGTACTTAAGTTCTTGAACAAACATTGGCTTGCGATGAGCCAATAATGGAGTTACTATAGTAAGAAGTAACTTTTATACATAGAAATGGATATATATATATATATATATTATATATATATGCTACATGATTTACATGTTTACATGAAATTGCACTAGTGATATATGATGTATTGGAAACATATGAGAACAGAGATGACATGATTTGTAGGATGTATGAATTCATGAGTAAAGGCATATTTGAATATAATTTGTATGCATTAAATGTCATGTGAACATAAGAGGATAGAGACTGTTATATGATATGAGAATAAGTGATGAAACACAAATGATATATATGTTTATATGAATCCATGCAAAATGATATGAGCTATGTGACATATGAATATGAATTCATATGAAAAGTGATATGAATTACATGAAAGAAACTACATGATTACAAACATATATGCAGAAGCTATGAGCTTATATGCGTATGTGAAATGATAAATAATAATGCTCATGTTATATGATACGATAGCTATACGTATAGTTGGCATGCCAAGAGTCGAGGGTTTCATAGGTCTTTCGGGACAATACAGTGGTCCTTCGGGACAATACAGTGGTCCTTCGGGACAAATTTCATATGCCACTCAGTAGAACTTATACGAGCTGTGGTGACAACATTAGTGCACAACCTCAATGTACTTACATACCTTCAGTTCTCACCAATGTACCATGGGCTAATAAAGAGACAATAACAAATACAATATATAAGATGCATATGCTTGTTGTGATATGAACGGTATTGCATGGATTATAGGATGCTTTGTGTTATAAGACATGTATAGAAATGTTCAACACATGCTTATATGATCACAAGGAATTAGTAACAATAATATGAGTATCGAAAAGCATATTAATGATATATGTTTTTATATGATATGATAATATTGGCATATGTATACCTTTTGTTTATATGAAATGATAGATGGTTATAGTTTATGTTTTGCATGCCTCACTAAGTCAGCGACTTAGCGTGTGATTGTTTCACGCGTAGGTTCCGAGAAGAGGAAGATTGATAAAAGTTATGCAAGACAAGTCAGTTTCTCATTTCCAAAGATCAGATCAGAAAATAAATGTATAATATGTATTTTGTAACAATGATAGTGGTTGGCATGTAAATAAAGGTTTAAATCCGATATGTTTTAATCGGTTTTGTAAAATCATATAATTAAGTTTTGTAATGGTTATATGTAAATAGAGATTTTATACGAATTTATAAGTTTTTTGCCGAAAGTACTGTAGCAGGTACTGTTCATACCGTATTTTACTGTTCATAAATATGTTTTTACCTCAAAATTTTATACAAAACACAATTGAACAATACATGATCGTATTTTTCTTAATATAAGTTCAAATGTTTTGATATTTTGTAAGGAAAAACGTTTTAAAAAGGCAATGTGACATCTCAGACTCGTATTCGGGTCGGATACGGGTTGGGGTGTTACATGAGAAATTGAATTTTTCAAGTGTACATCGTCCTCGAACACTTTACTCAGTTCATCCAAAATTAAATTTAATTAACTTACTAGTAGTTGAAATATAAAAAAAAAATCATAAAATTTAAATATCATTTAAACTTGTGTTTAAAAAAATCAAGAACCAAGTGGCCTCTATAGTAAATGAATTATTGTTATTCCTTGAAGTCTTTGATTCCGAGTGTGAGACTTCAATGTCGAATGGTTGAGAGTCATCTTTGAACATATATTATCTTGTATTTATCTCAATTTTTTTTAATTTTAATTAAAATATATTTTTAAAATGAAATAAATTTTAGATGAAACCATTTGAAAAACTTAATAATGAATTAAAAAAAACTAAATTTAAAATAAATCTAACCTGAAATACTTAATCTTAATTGAATTTATATGTTTTAATTCTATCAACTATCAACCTATAATAATTGAATATAAACAAATGAGTTATGATTTATTTAAATTCCGTAAAACTCTTTTAGTTTTACATTTTTTAAGACCATTAGATTAAAGATAATTAAAAGTTGAAATTAATTTATTATTTTTTCAATGAATATCTTTCTTATTTTCTACCGTTAATTTTAACATTTAATTTTTTTCATCCAATGATCCTACGAAAAATATAAAACTATAAGATTTTTACACATTATAATTAGATTATGCTCATTCATATATATATGATAAGAAGAAGCAGTCAATTCAACCCACTATGATCCAACTATATAATAAATGTTGTTGCATCAACTCATAATAATTGAGTATAAGTAGGGATATAGAATTCGAATCTGACGAGTTTTGATCCGATTCGACTTATATTTATCCCTAAATATAAGCAACTCACTCTTTTATTTTTTTTCTTTTATTTTTTTTGGGAATGAAATATCATTGTTTTCCATTAAGAAAACCTTTAGTTATACTTTTAAACAATATCTACACTTAAGTGAAGTTTAATTGGAGTACGCATGTTAATGGATAATGTCGTAATCCAACCGTTTGAGGTGCAACTTCTTTTCAGCCCCACCTCACTCACCACCACGTGCCTCTCACATTCACATTTGTCTTCTCACCAACCCCGGAAAATGACCCTTCCATCGTCCTCTCCTCACGTTTACATCACCCGCCTTGAACCCAGAGTGGCATTTAGAGCAGCAGCGAAAATATATATTTTGGTCTTCTACTATATATTGGTTGTCTGGTCTCTTTAATCCTATAACTAGAATTGTACCGCCCGAAGAACGTGTCGATATACTGACCGTTGGGTCAAACGGCGTTTATCTCGATCCCAGAAAACGAGGCGGATTTCGAAACGGTACCTTCAAAATCTCATCCTTTAAGCAAAACCCTTAATTAATATATCGCTAATTAATCCTTTTTAATATTTATCTTTTTCTGGGAACTGTACTGGAAAGCCATTGGAATTCTCCTTTTATATATTGCCCGAAAAATCTCTCTCCTTTTCACTTTTTTTCTTTGGAAGTATTGCTCTTGACCATGCTGCAGTGCAAGTGGCCAAGTGGGTGTTTTCTGTCTTATCTGCTTCAATTTTTCTGGGTTTTATTCGTGCTTTAATTTGAAACTTTTTTAAGGTTCTTTGGTGGTTGATAAATTGGTTCTGGATCTGGGAATTAAGTTCAAGGTTGTTCTTCATAATTGTTTCTCTGAATTTTTTTTTCTTAAAGCCTCTTTTCTAAGTGAATTCTAAGATTAGGGTTGTTTATTGCTGTTAGGTTTTTAGCCTATGTTAACTATTTGTGCTTTGAAAAAACTTTGATTTTTGGCTTTGTTTCTTCTAGAAATCTTGTGCAAAAAGTACAATCTATACAAAATTTTGGGTTGTTTCCCTTGTTGGTTAAGAATATGTGGTTGAAACTTGAAACAAACCCTTGATTTGTTTTCCTTTGCTTTATCTTCTTTAAGCTTTTATTTGTCAAATTCAGCTCTTCAATGTACTTTTGAAATATAATGAAACGATATTGTTGACTTTTGAAGTTCTAAGTATAAAAAATTGCAGATAACAAGAAGTTTGATAAGTTTCTAGAATAGTTTTGTCTTTAATCATTAAGGCTTTGTAATATGCATGATCATCACTCATATGAGTCCCCTCTTGCTTGTCCAGTCAGCTAGAAAGATTCCAGAATCTTCGGTGAGCTTCTGGTGAGGAATTTGCTTACCAAGTTATCATCTGTCATTGCATGTGACATGGATGTTACATACAGTCATGTTGTCCTAGGTACGAGTTTCTTTAGGAACTTGGATTTCAAAAAATGATTTTGGATACTTGTAACATACATGTTACATGCATGATTATAAACAAAAGTTTTTGAAGAAAATGTGATTTTTTATAAATAAAAAAATTCACTCCCATGACAATAGTTAATGAAATTCTTGAACTATGCTGGTACTATTCATGGACATGAAGATTGTTTTGCTTGGACTGACATAGTTAATTATGTTCATGAAATGTAAGACATTGATGGCTTTAGGGAAATGTTATTAGATGTCACTATGTCTATAGAGTACAGAGATATCGTGCATAGAGAGGATAATGTTGTTTTGAATGGTTTCTGCTTGTAATTACATGAGTATTGGATGTATTTCTATTGCATTGGCGTCAATGGTAACGCAATCTATGACATTCTATGGTAAGAAACCATTGTGATTAGAGTGTCTTTTCTATCAAGTAATAGCTACCCTGCAATATCTTCTTATTATGTCCCTTCTTTTTTGCAGATTTTACTTTGAGATATGATACATTATCAATTGACAACGAGAGAGAGCACGCTCGTAGCCATTCATGCTAGGTCATGGATGCATACAAGCGTGCTCTCTATCGTTGTCATGTGATTTGTACAGATCTTTTTGCGGTATCTATTTGTTGCAATAGCTAGCAGCCAACAGGTGGTTTCGACTTTCTTATTCATCTTGAGTTCCTTTATTTAATCAAACATTAATAATGAAGTAATTATTATTCTGAATATTAGGAATGGATACATGCACGTAACCTCGGAACCTTGTGAGATTTCCGATATTAATGCTCGAGTGTGAATTTAAGGGATTGAAAAGTTTTAAATCAAAGCATCTATTATGTCTTAGGATGCATTGATTAAAGTTATGTTCTTAGGATTTTGCGGTGTATCTTCTATATAAGGAGAGTATATATGTTCCTTTCCTCATGTATACTAGATTTTGTTTGTTGTTTGTGGTTTATTTCACAATGAAGTTAAACCATTTTGCTATTTCTGATCCATTATGACAACTTTAAGCATATGGAATTATTGTTTAAGGAAATTTCTCGGTTTATAAAATCAATTTGTCCTAGATTCCTATTGTAGTAATCCTTCATGTCTGCTTTTCAATTTCTATTCTTGTTTAGACCTTATTGTTTCTTTGATTCAATGTTCTTTGTAAGCTGTACAGGTATCAGATCTATATGTTATTCCGTTGTACAAGAACTTCCTCAATGATGTCAAAGAGAAGTTTGCGTAGGTAAATTCTTTGCCATGCTTATTGGATGTAGCTTATAGTGTCCTATACCTTTTACTTGTTTTTCTTGAACAACTGAAATATAACCCCCGGCTCGATTTTGATACTATAGTCTCGATGTTTTGAATTTGATCTTTTTTGATGGGCAGTTATATAATGATACTTTTGTGAAAATGAATAGTTAGGGTGACAATAAATAAGATATGACAACTTAAAGTTTGGTTTTGAACAATAACAATTGAATATAATTTCCATGACCATTAATTGAGAGACAAACAAGTATATTTTTATGCAAAAATGGCCTATGCTCGAGGGCAGGAGTATTCTAGTGATTTCCCCCTGGAATAGGCCTTGTTGTAGTCTACTAGGCATCATTTTCGGTTTCTTAAGTTTTTAGGGCTTTAATTTACCTAAATTTAGTCTTGTTAAAACTATAACGAATTGGGGATTGTATTGTAAAACTTTGAAAGGAAATTAAAGTTTCTACTTTCTAGTGATTTTATACGTTTAGCTTTGCATAAAAAAATATTGCTTGTTTTTTTTAACTTGCCGTTGACATTGCCGAAGTTGGTTGCAGCTGCCGACAAGTTCAGGTTGGTTACAATTGCATTTTCCTTCACTGTGACCAAAACTGAAACGAAATTACAGATACCAAAATAAAAAATTTAAACATTTTCCAGAAAATTAAGTGTATCAAATTCTTATAAAATAATGATATTTTTTGTGAAAATTTTGAACTTTTAAGTCAGACGGGTTAAAAAAGAATGAAGTCAAAGGTTTAAAATTATTGATAAAACTTAAATATTCAAAATTAAATGCTAAAACAATGCTTTTGGGGATGAAAGCGGTGTTGCCAGCATGTAGGTTTTGAAAAGTTATGCGGATTTAAAAAAAATTGTCTCAATCGGACATTGGAACATAAAGTTATGACCTTTCAAACTTATGTAGTATACTAAGCACACTTTCCTCCAGCATGTGTGCTTAGTAGTACCTTTTGTTGTCTTTGCTCTTTGGTTCTCTCTTTATTGCTAGGGCATTCGACATACAGTTCATAACACAAAACAGACAAGAGGGGGTATGTTTTTCCAAATTTCTTCTGCATAATGTGAAGTTTAGCCTATAAGGTATTAATTACATGCGTTAGATAATAACTCATGTTTTTTATCTGTTGGAAATTGCAGGTTTCAATGGGTATTTTAACTTCTGCCTTGTAGAGCATTTTCTAAATGTTTAGGATTTTTTTTTGTAATTGTGTTGCATTTTTATTGAAGTCCTTATTTGACTAAGAATGATAGCATTCTACATTTATACCTATGTTCTTTTATTTTCCTTGCAAATATGAACAAGTTTATGAGATTTGATCAGCTGTTATGTTTTCAAGGACTTGTCATCTACCAAATTCTAACTAGCCCTAACCCTACTTCAAAAACGACCATCAGATTTCAATCCTAACCCTAATTTTTTGTTTACAGTCCTAGCATGATGCCTAAATAGTTTTCTAAGTTTTGATATTTTCACAAGGATCCATCCTTTTAAATTACCTCAATTAAGAACCTAGAAGCTATAGAAATCTTTTGTTCATCAAAAGGAAGCAATAATGCTGGAGTACCTATTATAAATATAACAAAAGCTGTGGAAAATCACTTAAGCAATAGCAACCAACAGATGAAATAATTAAGATAAAGAGGCCCTCGTGAAATAGCAAATCAGAAGATTAACTCGACTAATATTCCCTAAAAAGATCCCAGCTTTTACATAGAGATTTGGCCTTTGGTTAGGGCTTGTTAGTTGTTAGCTATATTCAAGAGGCAGTTGAATGTATCAAAATACCTGAACTAGAACCGGTTCTTGTATCCTGCTTCAATCTAAAGGCTGCGGCTTCCTTTGCACAATTTTTTTTTGATAGAATAAGGCCTCATTAAAACCCCCTTCATATCCTACATGTTATAAACATAACATGAAGGACCTAGGAAGGAGGAAAAGAGTGCTTTATTAATGTGAACAATAATACACCTCCACACCTAAATCCTAACTACTAACAACATAACCTTTAAACCAGAACTCTGAATACATAACACACCCTAAACTCCCTTAATAAAAACAACCAAGGCAGAAACACCTTTAACCACTACACAAACCCAAAAATCAACCTATACCAGCTTTTGCTAATTCATCCGCTTCCCAATTTGCAGCTCTCGAAATATGCCTTGTGATAATACCCTTCCTTTCCACACGAGTAGCTATATCCCTCACCAAGGATTTAAACAAAGAGGGAATGGAAATCCAAAGATTCTTGTTTGTCATGATTACATATTTTTAGGCTTTGGAATGAGAGTTTGTATGCTCTTTTGTGGCTGCTTTCTTACAAGGCAACATGATCAAGAAACCTCCCATCGTTGTAGTGTTTCATTCTCAAATCTCTTACTGATAAACACGGTAGTAGTAAATGCCTTTGTTTCATCTCTTTATTTAACCCCATTTTCTCTTGGGGAATTCAACTCCAGTAGTAGCTGAAACCATTTTTTATAGTGTTTATTGTTGCTTGAGAATTGGTTTATTGATTTTGAACTTTTAGGTTTACTACGCAATGTGTGGAACCGAAGCGAACATTTATTAGTGAAACATCCTGGTTAAACTAAATCTAAAGATTTTAGAGCAATCCCATGGTTCTCTACTTGAATGTATGTAGATGACCATTTAGAAGTTAAAGTTCTTTGCTGAGAATTGTTGAGTAGGTTCCTACAATTGAATGACATGACCCGTCTGCAATCATCTTGGTTTATGCGTGGACATGGAGGCTTTTTGATAAGCAGCTGAAACCATGCTTGATAGTCTTTTGCAGCCCTAAATCTTCTACGTGCCATATTTGTATATTCTTTAGCTGTTCAGCTTGAACTGCCTTTGGGAGTATGTTTTTGTAGTTCTCGGTGACTGAGATTTTGTTGATATGTTACCGGTTCATGCATATAAAGGCTGTTGGAGGTCATTAATCAGTGTTTTCTTCTATATTTATGATAACATTAAAACTTGATACTTTCTGAATAGCATTGGATTCAGCGTCTTTCGGTTTATACTTCAACATATTAATATTTTGTTTGTCCTGTACAGATACCTCGGGTTTCTGCAAAGAGGACAGTATAATTGATTTATATCAGATGGAAGAAGGATTCTTAATCCGTTGTACTTGGGAATTTAGATTAAGCATGTGATTTGATTGTGTTACACATGATAACAAGTTAATGCAGCAGTTTCATTTGTTTGAGTAGCCTGGCAAATTTTGACAAGCGAAATGCTTTGATTTTAATTAATTTATGTCATCTGATGTGATGCAGATATGCAGTATACATCTTTCAAGAGTCTAATTGAAACTGCTACTGTTTTCTTTTTTAAAGGTCATTATAGTTTTAATTCCTCTATTGAAATTAAATTAAGAATTTAGCCAATATATAATGTTTTAGTAAAATGTGCGGGTTCATGGATTTTTTTCTCAGGAGACAATGATATTAAAGAGCAGAAAGATCTAATATGTTAAAGATATACAAGAGTAAATCCAGAATTTTAGTATAATAAAAGGACCAAATCCAGAATTTGACATTTGTAAATTAAATGGACAGAATAATCATTACAGAAGTAACAACGATAAGGTCAACCTCGTTCTAGTTTATATCTTCTTGTCTTAATCTACTTATCTTCAAGGACATTGATTTGATCCCTGTTAGGATCATCGACACTGTAAATTCATCTGTTTTCCAGATCCGATCAGCAACTGAAAGACCATCGCATGAACGACAGTTACTCCAGAAGACCGACTTCAGCATCCTCAACTTCTTCATCTTCCCCATCACCATCTTTGTTGGCCTTTTTCTTACGACCCCAGGCCAGCATAGCCTTGAGAATGAGCCCCCTTTCAACACCGACATCGATGTAGCTAAAAAGCTCCTTGTCTTTGAGGTTGTCTCCTTTTCTCGTCCCTCGTAGCTCAGGGTCTAATGCTTGCCATCAACATGTTGAGCAGCAAAGATGCTGAAGTATCAGGGATCGCATTAGCCTCAGAAATTTGAGGGTTGGGATAATGTGATCGAGATCTGGTTGGGGATATTGTTCATGCGATGGCGGCGCTGGTCATCCTGGTTTCTTCGGCTCTCTTGTTTATATTTCCACTGGTGTTTATGCTTTCTGGCACTGAAATAATGTGGTTTTGTTGGGATGGGGTGGGGGGGATGGTGGCCAATATAAACCTAGCATTCTCAGTTCTCATAACACGTACAATTTCCTTTACGGTCAATTGCTCATATAAACTTTTACAATGTACCTATTTCAATGGTATAACACAGTTCTTACACAATGTGGAATGATAACAAGTTCACTAGAAATGATACAAGGTTTTCCAGGAAACAATGCCATATGCTGCTCCTGATCATAATTTTCTCTCCAACCAAGCAAAGGCCATCTGATTGATCTCTGATCTACTATGTACCTATTTCAATGGTATAACACAGTTCTTACACAATGTGGAATGATAACAAGTTCACTAGAAATGATACAAGGTTTTCCAGGAAACAATGCCATATGCTGCTCCTGATCATAATTTTCTCTCCAACCAAGGAAAGGCCATCTGATTGATCTCTGATCTACTATTTGCCAGTGACAGAGACTTTGAATTGCAGATTCATTCACCAAATCATGGAGCTTACTTCATTCTTTTCCCCCCCACCATGTTTACCTGGATGAATAAGGCTATGCTTAACATAAAGAATACTATTTTACTTGAATAGTAAATCGATGTTGCACCAGAGAAATTAACTCCCTGAGCCTGATCCCTGCAGGGCAAAGAAAATTAGAGACGTCGTTAACAACAATACAAAGCAAATTACAGAAGATACTAAACTGTGTTACTTTGATATCTTACTTCTGTAACGATGATAGGATGCCACAATATATAGAATTTTCTGGTAACGGAACCTTCGAATTATCGATCTCAGGATTCACAACGCTTACATAGGCTTCTTGGCCTAGATACCATGAATCGAGATTCTGAGCACGGAGATTCCAAATGCCTGCATTGTCGAGAGAAACTAAAATTGCTGTCCAGGCTCCAGGAAAGACCTGCAACCAGATATAATGTTAGAAGTGGTTGTCCATACATCATATTTTGAACATATAGAACTGTTCTGCAAGTTCCATTGAATTTGTGTTTTCTTCTTCCTCAAGCTTTTTGCCAGAGTATTTTCACTTGAAAGCATTTGAGATCAGCACCACAAGGTAGGGATATACCTGTGTAGTAGAGCGTGCAACGCCATCCCATTTGTTGTACGTGCCTCTGCTATTCTCAGTCCATACCCCGAAATCCATACTATGAAAGAGTAAGAAAATTGTCAATTTCATGTATCCCCGGCATCCATGGATAAAGAAAGATATCAGAAGCTAAAAGCTCACCCTACAACAAAGAATGCATAGCCATCCAGATGGTAACTTTGAACACTAGTGTCATTGTTCTATAAACTCCGCAGGCCTATTGAGGACCACATACACCTCTGTCACAGTAATGTCGCCATACTTGAAAGATCCTTGTGGGTTTGGACGTGCAGCACCAGCAGAGACATTCCACCTATAAATACACCAGGAAGACTATAATAAAGTGATATTTTCAACTACTTTATATTTTAATCAAGGGTTTCTAAAGCATACATTCTTTATAACAGCTAAAATAAAAAGATACAAAATGGGCTAAAACCTTATCGATCGTGCTTGATTCATTGAGAAATATGTGTCGTAATCATTAGGAGGATCGGGAAGAGGACCTGTAGCAAGTCCCTGAGAGTTAGAGTAGTGCAAGATAGAGACTCCGTTAAGTTTAGCCCAGTCAGACGAGTTGACAAACCGAGGACTGGCTACAATGTAATAATCACTGCTAGCATTCTGATCCATGGTAACCAAGAATGAGTACGATTGACCCACATGAATATCCATGTTCGAGTAGTTTTGCTGAACCGTGTATGATCCTTCAGTCTCAACGAGAAGTAGGTTGTGGTTTTGAATTCTGAAATTCAAGCTAGTTGAAATCCCCACATTGTGGACCCTAAAGCGGTACGTTTTTCCTGTCTCAGATTAAATAAAAAACATAAGGCTATAACAATAAAAATTTATTCCTCCAAGCAAGATAATGTTCTAAGAACCTTAACTACAGCAAACCAAGTATTTATGTACCTGGTTCGACATTTATGATCTGGTAAACAATCCCGTCTTTAACAAGGGCCGGATCATAACGGTACGGACCCAGTCCATTAATTAGGATGCCATCAGGAACACCAAGGTCAACTCCTTTCTCGACATCTTTCCTTAATCCCTGTTTTTCCACGAGAAATTGTTTAGTACCAGAGAAAAGGTAAACAAGATTATGACAGACACCAGACGCATTGAGAATTTTTTTTTGCAGACCTTGTGACTCTTAGTATACCAGTCACTAATAAAGATAGTAATATCACCGTCAGGCATCCCAAATGGTAGCGGAATGACATCTCTGTTGTTTATAATGATTCCTCCGTAGCCGCCTGCTGCTC